GGAAGGGGCCGGGGCAGCGCCGGGGAAGGGAAGGGCCGGAGGCGCGGCGGCGGCGGCGGGATCCCCGCGCCGCGGAGCCCGGCCCGAAAGCCGCGTCTACCTTCCTGCCTCCTGCTCCCGCCGCCCCGGGGCGCCGCCATGACGGTGAGTGCCCCCGGCAGCCTCCCGCGCCCCAGGCCGGGAGGAGGGCGACGGCCCGAGGCGGAGCCCAGCCACTCCCTTCCCAGGCAGCCCCCTCCTCACTTCTCTGAGGCGAAAGGAGAGCTGGGCCTGAAGACGGGGCCACCTCCGAGGCGCTGGTCGGCCAGACCGGCCTCACCCTCCCCGCAGGCTCCCCTTTCGCCTTCCCTCGTCCACTCGCCCCCTGGAGCCCAGGCGACCCTGAGGGGTCGGAACGACCCGTCCCGGCCGCCCCCTCCTCACACTTGGCGGCACTAGTCACGGGTGGATTGGGGGTGACCCTTTCCCAGCTCCCCTCCAGCCCCCTAGGCGAAGACCCGATTCCCCAGGGCGGTCATGGGCCCCAGGGAGCGGCGGAGGTGGGCTTGGGCGGGGATGGGCAGGCCGGACCCCGGTGTGGCCGGTGGCCCGAGGTCAGGTGGGCGAGAAGGGGCGGACCGCCCCACCTACAGCCCGGGACGTCTGAAGCATTGGGATACCACGTTCTCCCGCGGCCCTGGGGTAGGGGGGAGTCGGGGTAGGGGGCGCGATTGCAGGGGTTTGCCTTTCTCTTAGGGGTGAGCTATACCCAAGCCCCATCAATTACCTGCGCCATGGTTAGCATATTGAGCCTCACAGCTGGGTTCCCTGGACTCCCCACTTCACAGCCGGGTAAACTGAGGCAGGGGGTGGGGCATTGGTGAGTTGCCCGTGGTCATCCTAGGTATAAGGGAAGGAGTACCTCCTTTCCTGGTGCTCTGGCCCACTGACCATGATGTTCGGGAGGGAGGGGTGGGGCTGCTTTTGATTTCTGGCTAGTGCTTCAGGGAGGCTCTGACAGCCCAGTGGCCTTGCTAGGGAAGGATGAGCAGGGTGTGTCTGTGCACAGGCGCCAGCAGTCGTCTTTCAAGGGAGTGGAGACCCTGCGGATGAGTGGGCTGGGCTGCTGGGGGCGTGGCATGCTCTGTGAGTGTGATAGCCAGAACGCCTTGGCTGGACTTCCTCGGCCGCCTCCTGGACATCCTGCCACCTCCCTGCTGGCCCTTCCTGTCGTCAGCAGCCTCCCCTTCCCTGTCAGGAGCAGAAGGGATGTGGGGGGAGGAGGAGAGTGGTTGCCTTGCCCACTGGGTGCCTGCCTGGCTCTCTGCCGGCTGCCTTCATGTTACCAGACCTGATTCTTGAAGGTTGGAAGTAACATCTTCATCAAATAGATGAGGAAACCAAGGTGTGGCGAGGTGAAGTGTCATGCCCCAGGTGGCTCAGAGAGTCCCAGGCTGAGCCAGAGTTCGTATCCAGGTCTGTTCCAGCTTGCTTTCTTTGGAGAGATAAGAAATGTACACAGTTACTTGTCCTGGGGGCAGCACGTGCAGAGCAAGAGTAAGGGTGCTTGGAGGAGGGACAGCACATCCCTGCTGGTGGCAGGAGGCCTTCCCAAGGGAGGTGTCCTCCTGTGATTATAGGGCTTTGTCAGGCAGAGATGGACTAGCGAGGAGTCAGCAGTGTGGACAGAAGCTAGTGGTTGTGTTTGAGAACTAGCAAGAGCATCAGAAAGGGATCTGGGGAGGAGGGCCTCGCTGCTAGGGCTTGCTCAGGGGCAACAGGGAGACATGAAAGGTTTTAGAGCAGAGAGGAGGGTATGATCACCATTAATAGTGTTCACTGAGGCCCCAGGTGTGGTGGCTCACATCTGTAATCCCAGCACTTTGGGAGGCTAAGGTGGGTGGATCGTGAGGTCACGAGTTTGAGACCAGCCTGGCCAACATAGTGAAACCCCCGTCTCTACTAAAGATGCAAAAAATTAGCGAGGTGTGGTGGCGCCTGCCTGTAGTCCCAGCTACTCAGGAGACTGAGGCAGGAGAATTGCTTGAACTTTGGAGGTGGAGGTTGCAGTGAGCCGATTGTGCCATTGCACGCCAGCCTGGGCAACAGGGTGAGACTCCATCTCAAAAAAAAAAAAAATAGTGTTCATTGAGTTCACCCTGGCTGCCATTCGGACCTCAGCCTTCTGTACCTTCCTCCCCTGGCCCCCATGCCCTGAGTCAGGGATCCATACAGAGCAAGTGGCACAGGTGTGTGAGTGTGTGAGGCTCTGAGGCTTCATGGAGTCAGGATCCTCTTCCACACCCTTTTGCCTTTGCCTGGGTGCAGCTTTGCTCCTGGAGCCTCCTTCCCCAGCGCCTGCTGGGCATCAGATTATATTTGGTTCCGTATGGACTGTCTGTCTCTCTCCTACAGTCCACCAGGGCAGGGGCCACAGCTCTCGGTCACAGCTGATTTCTTGGCCTACAACAGTGCCTGATGCTTTAGAAAAAGAAAATAAATTTCTGCAAACACCCCCTGCATCCCCATCTGTGCTGGGTCCTGGTGGCTAAACAGTGTGTCCCTGACTGTGACTTGCATCTAGTCAGTTTAGCCTGCGAAGGATAAGTAAATGGCCCCAAGATAGTCACAGATGCAACAGAGGCCTCAGCGAGGGGCCATGGGAGGCCAGGACAGGGGCATCTGGTGGTGCGGTGAGTGGCATGGACTGTAAAGGGACCTCAGAGGTGGCCATTAAGCCTAATATCTAAGGCCTGAGTAGGGGCTTGCCTGCTCATCAGAGGAGGAGGAAGCCTAGTATTTCAGGCCAAGGACACGGCACATGTGAAGGGCCCGGAGTGCTGCTGTGTTGGGATCGGCAAGGACTGTGCAGTAGTATAAACACAGGCCCCTCAGCAAGGGGAGGCCAGGCTGGGAGGGTGTGATGGTGCTTCCCTGCCAGAGGCTGGGTGTGGTGGCTCACGTCTGTAATCCCAGCACTTAGGGAGGCTGAGGTTGGTGGATCACTTGAGGTCAGGAGTTCGAGACCAGCCTCGCCAACATGGTGAAACTCCCTTCTCTATTAAAAATTTTAAAAAATTAGCTGGGCATGGTGGCAGGCACCTGTAATCCCAGCTATTTGGGAAGCTGAGGTCAGAGAATCACTTGAATCTGGGAGGCAAAGGTTGCAGTGAGCTGAGATCGTGCCATTGCACTGCAGCCTGGGCAGCAGAGAGAGACTGTCTCAAAAATAAATAAAGCCACCTGGTGCTATCCCTGGAAATTTTAAGTAAGCTTGGGGCACCAGGCCTTTTTTAGTGAGTCCTGCCAGCCCAAGGGTGCATAGAGGGAGCTGTGTCCCTGTCCAGGTGGGAGGTAGGGCTGTGAAAACCTGCCAGTGTTCCCAAAAGGTGGCTTTCAGCAGGTGAAGAAGAGGCAATTGGGGCTGAAGAGCCCTGTACGAATGGGCATCATGGGAGATTTAGATGATGGGACCTTTTGACCCTGGGGACAGGTTTCCCTGCCAGTTTGAAAACTCACATTGGTTGGCCAGGCACAGTGGCTTACGCCTGTAATCCCAGCATTTTGGGAGGCCGAGGTGGGCAGATCACTTGAGCCCAGGAGTTCGAGACTAGCCTGGGAAACAGGGAGACCCCATCTGTACAAAAAAAAGAAAAAATTAGCCTGGTGGAGTGTATATGTCATCCCAGCTACTTAGAAGCTGAGGTGGAAGGACCACTTGAGCCCGGGAGGTTGAGGCTGCAGTGAGCTGTGATTGCATCACCACACTCCAAAATGGGCAGCAGAGCAGGGCCGTGTCTCAACAAAACAAAACTCACATCGGTGACCTCCTAATCCCAAGGTCAGTGTGTCATGGCGTGCCTGACATGGTGTGTGATGTGTCTGCTGGGCTCTGGAGGATCACCAGGTTTCTCCTTGTACGGACACGTTCAGTCCTGTCGGAAGCTACGGGAGGAAAGGATTGCCCCATCATTTGCCACATCAGGCAGCCAGGACTCAGAAAGGGGCTGACTTAGGAAGGTCACGGCAGCTCCACTTCCCAGGCAGCCCTAGAGGTTCCGTCATTCCTGCCCCTGATCTCCCAGCCCTGGCCCAGGGACTTTCGCCTGGCCCGACCCAGTCGTGCCAGCTCTGTGGGCCCAGTAAGCCTGGCTCCTCCAGGCCAGGTAGGGATTGGGGAGACTGCCCATAAAGCACAGGAATTTAGACCAGGGGGATAGAAGAGGGTAGATATTTCCTCAGCAAGTTTTTCGTGAGCCTTGCTGTGGTCAGGTCCCCTCCCCTGCAAGGCTCTGGGGCCACAGGAGGTCCCAGACTGAAGGAAAGTAGAGCCAGGTGTGGTCACCAATCTTCAGTCTTAGTTTAGGGTCGCCCTGGGCAGCCTCTGCCTCAGGTGGAAGACGGGGTGGGCATTTGAGAGCAGCGGGACAAATGCAGCCCCAGGGGTTCTTGGCTCTGAGCAGAGCCTGTGTCTCTCCCTTAGAGGCATGCTGGGAGGGGCTGGGATGCCATGCTACTGGGACCGCCCACCATGACTGTGGGGGGTTCTGGATCTTCAGCTGCCCCAAGCCCCCCTTGGTCCACTCCCTCTACCTGAGAAGGGACTCCGTGTGAGGAGGGTGGATCAGGAGAGGTGGCCAGGCAAGGTGGCTCTGGTTTCCAGCTGCCACTGCCACCACCCACCCCACTGAGCCATGCCACCCGCCCTCTGCACGCAACCAGACACCTTGGCCTAGTGAGGCCTTGATGTAGGTGCTGATAGGTAGGCTTAGAGCTATGGCAACAGGTGGCCACCTCCTCCCAGCTGGTGGCAGGAGCTGAGACCACAGAGGGACCAGGACTTAGATAACAGAGGTCTCTCCAGCAGCCTGGGAGGATCTGGTGATTGACACTCACCAGATGGGCATGGGGAGAAAAATGCTGGGTTGAGCAACTTCTTTATCCAGGCCTGGGTGGGGGTGCCTGGCACGGCCCCCATGGAACATGCTACAGCTGGCAGCCCCCAGACCCCGGGGCTGTGCCCCTCTAGGAAGCATCCAGAAGGTAGGGCTTGCTGGGACTGAGGTACTCTAGCTTCCCAAAGAGATCTAGGGGGGACCAGAGGGTTCCTGACCCCAGCCTGCCTCCCATAGTCTCCTGGAGCCAAGGGAAGGGCAGGACTGGTGGGGCGACAGGAGGGCCCATGGGACAGGCTAGGCAGGAGCATGAGGTGTGGTCCCCTCAGGCCCCCTGGTCCTCATCAGAGGGAGGAACTGGACAGTTGGCGCAGTGCCGCTGGCCTGGGCTGCCCTCTGAGCTTTCAGGCGGTCTCTTTACAGGCAGAGTACTCCCAGCCCCTCTCTGCCACTCTTGGGTGAGGGGTGGGCTGGAGGGAGGTCCCTGGGACATCTGGGTTAGTGTGCCACCCACCCAGCCCAACTTCTCAGCTCTCCAAGTGCTGCTATCAGGAAAGGGGCTAGGTCTGCCTCAGTGGCTGGAGAGCCTGCTTGGACTTGGGGGTTACCTAGGCCCTTAGCCCTCTTGGCTGGCTTCCTAGGAGCTCAGTCCCACAGGACTTGGGGGCAGGGTGGGTGCAGCATGTCCCCCTCGCCAGCCCCTGTCAGCTTCTTGCTGGCCCCGACTCACCTCCCTCCTCCTCTCCCCACAGCCTGATCTGCTCAACTTCAAGAAGGGATGGATGTCAATCTTGGATGAGCCCGGAGAGGTAGGAGGACCAAGGCGGGACAGGAGGAGGCTGGCTGGTGCTGATGTCGGGCCCCGGGGCAGCCCAGGAGGCTGAGCTGTCCCTGGCTTCTGGGGGTGGGGGCCGGGTCTTGTGTGAGAACCCTGGGGGCAGGGGCTGCCCATCAGACTTCTGCCTCCTGGAGCAGTCTGCAGTGTGTAAAAGGGACCAGGGTGGGGGCCATCTAGCCCCTCACGCCAGTGCTCCATCTCTTGATCTCATCAAGAGCCTCTTGGCCCTCCCACCTCAGTAGGAGCCTGGCTGGGAGTCAAGGGTCTTGGGTGGAAGGGCTGATGGAAGTTGTGTGGCCCGAGACACAGATTCCTAAAGCCTGGGCTGAAGGGGTGGGGCTCAGGGCACAGGTGCTGGAGTTTCACCCACCTGGAGCCCCACTGGTTGGGGTTGAGTCACAGCCTCCTCTAGGCCTCAGTGGCCACATCTGTGACATGGGCATAATGGATAATGGTGATTCTTTCCAGGTGGATAACAAGGTCACAGAGATCAAGCATGTACAGGTGCCAACAGCCCCTGGCACTTACAATGGGCTCAGCTAAAGACCCTACCCTTTCTGTGGCATATGTGTCCTTGGAACCAGCAGGGACGGTGGCCGTTTCCCAGCTCTGTTCTTTCGGCTGCCAGGCTGGCTCCCTGCCCACCCTGCCTGGGCGGAAGCGTCTCCCCACCCCGCCCTGCATGCGCCTGCCACTCCGGTCTGCGTGCAGCCTGCATGCCGGGGAGGGCTCCAAGCCAGAGGGGATTTCATTGTGTTTCCGGCCCACATGTTTTATTCTCTCCAGCCCACAGCCTTCCCTACCCGTTGCCTGCCCGCTGCCCCTGGCGGCTGCTCTCTAGGCTCACACAAAGGCTGGCACCTGGCCAGTAACCCCTTCCCGGCCTCCCCACCCAGGGTCCCCGGAGGGCAGAGGGATTACAGGCCCCACCCAGAGCTGGCCATTACTCATCCTCTATCACAGGGTTCTGGAATGTCCGAGCTGGAAGGGCCCTGGGAGTTCAGCCAGCTCAACCCCTTGGTGCACAGACAGGAGACAGGCACACGAGGGTGTCAGTCTCTTCCAGGCCTAGGGGCACCTGGGGCAGACCCAGGCTCAGAAGTCGGCACACCTGAGGCCTATGGAGCTCCACCCAGCTTCTGTCTCGGACAGTCGTAGGCTAGGCCTGGAAGAGCTAAAGAAACCACTTGGTATTGAACCCCTGTCCTACTTTACAGAGAGGCAGTTGAGGTCTGCAGTAGCAACTCAGTTCACTCAGTGACAGCAGAATGGTTCTAAGAGGCCCAGCCTCCCAGAACGAACCCAATGACCTGGTGTCCATGCCTATGCCAAGGGCCATGACAGCCATACATACAAGAGAGGGTCAGGCACCTCTTACCTCACCAGAAGGTGTAGGGACTTCTTTTTTTTTTTTTTTTTTTTTTTGAGACAGTCTTGTTCTGTCCCCCAGGCTGGAGTGCAGTGGCTCAATCTTGGCTCACTGCAACCTCCACCTCCCATGAAGGACCTATGCCAGGCATAGGGACTTCTTATAGCTCTCCTTTATGTGTCAGAAGACTGAAGCTCAGAGAAGTGGAGACACTTGCCTAAAGGCACACAGCAAGCAAGGGAACTCTTGGGTGCAAAACCTTGTTTCTCAGGGAGGCAATGTGGAAAGAAGTAGAAAGTGTCATCCTTACATGCCCCCTGAAAACTCACCCTCTTCTTGAGGAGAGAAAACTAAGTACTTGAAACACCCAACAGCACAGACAGGGCTTGGTGATGCAAGGGAACCCGGGAGGGCTGGGGACCGGGTGACGTGCACTGACCCTGGCAGTAGGCGGGCCGAGACTGGGATTCCAGTGGAGTCTCCAGAAGCCCGGAGGTGGGCTGGGCTTGGCATAATATTGGGCTGTTCTGGCGCCCCCACCCCTTTCCTACATGCCCTGCCAATCTCACCCCCAGCTGGAGCAGAGACAGGCAGTGCAGGAATGCACCCAATCACAAATCCTAAATGTGCAGGTTAGTGCGCTCTCACCCGCTGCACATGCGGGTAGCCAGCCTGCAGATCAAGAGGCAGACTGTGCGGCCGGGCACGATGGTTCACACCTATAATCCCAGCACTTTGGGAGGCTGAGTTGAGCGGATCACCTGAGGTCAGGAGTTTGAGAGCAGTCTGGCCAACATGGTGAAACCCGTCTCTATTAAAAATGACAAAAATTAGCCAGGGGTAGTGGTGGGTGCCTGTAATCCCAGCTACTCAGGAGACTGAGGAGAATTGCTTGAACCTGGGAGGCAGAGGTTGCAGTGAGCTGAGATCACACAGACTACACTCCAGCCTAGGCAACAAGAGCGAAACTCCGTCTCAAAAAAAAAAAAAAAAATGCAGATCGTGCCTGGCACTCACTCCTACCCCTACCCTGGGGCTCCATCCAGTCCTACTCCCTGAGGGACTATTGTCCCTAACCATGGTGATGATCTGGGGAATATGGAAAAAGACATGAAGTCCTGGCCCCACTTAGTCCCTGACTTGCTTACACAGGTCATCACCCCTCCCTGTCTGCACTGGGTCTGGGGTGCCTGAGGAGCCTTGGTCATCTTAAAAAGGGCTCCAAGAAGGAAAGGGAGGGGAAGCCAGCCCATTTGGTAGTTATGGAGGGGAAGCCAGCCCATTTCACAGATGCAGCCCCTGAGGCTCAGAAAGGAAATGGAGGGGCCAGGTCTCAAATCAGCATTTTCTGCTTCTGCACCCCTCCTGTGTGCAGCATAGTCGGTTTGGCAGCCACCCAGGACACCTGTACAATCGCACACACTGGCTCTCTCATTCCACCCTCCTTGCAGCCTCCCACCCCCTCGCTCACCACCACCTCTACTTCGCAGTGGAAGAAGCATTGGTTTGTGCTGACAGATTCAAGCCTCAAATATTACAGAGACTCCACTGCTGAGGAGGTGAGCTCAGGGGTGTACTGATGAACCCCCAGAAGGGCTTGGGGTGGCCTGGCTGGGGTCAGTGGAGTGGGTCACGCCAGGGCCCATGCAGACCATAGTGGGCCCTCCTGCTCCAGGCAGATGAGCTGGATGGTGAGATCGACCTTCGTTCCTGCACGGATGTCACTGAGTATGCGGTGCAGCGCAACTATGGCTTCCAGATCCACGTGAGGCTTCGTGCGGCTTGGGGGCTGGTGGTGGGCAGCATGGCTGGAGGTCCCTGGGGGAGGTTTTGGTATTGAACGTGGCTCACCATGGAGGCTGGATCCCTGTCACTCATTTACCCAGAGACTGTCCTCAGAGCCAGACAGAGCTGTGATACCAACACTTAGCATATGTGGAAAGATGTTGGTGCCAGCAGAGCTCCTCCCAGGCCAATGGAAGGGAGGTTTTGTACCCCATGCCCACCCCAGAGTCAAGACCTTAGACGCCTCCTGGGAAGGAAGGGTCAGCCTCCCCGGGGTCCATGGTGGGGAGGGAGACAGGGGCCTGGCCATGTGGCAACCTACCTGTGCGGTGGCCTTACAGACCAAGGATGCTGTCTATACCTTGTCGGCCATGACTTCAGGCATCCGGCGGAACTGGATTGAGGCTCTGAGAAAGACTGTGCGTCCAACCTCAGCCCCAGATGTCACCAAGTACGTACTAAACTGGACTGGGGCCTTGGGGGAAGCACTTGGCCTTCCATCCCTGAGTAGGTTTCTACTGAGGGCTTTGCCTTCTGGGCCTTTGTTTCTCTACCCACACATGGGAAGAGAGCAGTAGGCATTCTTGGCCTCATCCTGAAATACACTGAGGGTGAGAGGTTTGATCTGCCTCCTCACATGTGATGGATGGGGCCCCTTCTCTTTGAAGGAGATCCTATGAGTCAGAAGCTCCTGCTAGAGGGCTGTTCTGTCTCTGCCATGGGGGCTGTGTCTAAACCTGTGTTGGGAAGGGGTGGCTAAGTAGTCTGGCGTCGGCACCCATGCCTCCTGGGATGGGGAGCCCACTCCCTCTGGAGGCTGCCATGGGCATTGGGACAGGAGAGCTGAGTTACCTAGTGGCAGAGCCCCCCACAGTATAAACCCTAGATGGCCATGGTGGGCTGGGACTTGGAGCTGCTGGGCAGTGGGAACAGAGTGTGGTAATTTTTAAATTAAATTAAATTTAATTTTTTTTGAGACCGAGTCTTGCTCTGTTGCCAGGCTGGAGTGCAGTGACACGATCTTGGCTCACCGCAACCTCCTTCTGGATTCAAGCGATTCTCCTGCCTCAGCTTCCTGAGTAGCTGGGACTACAGGCACATACGACCATGCCCGGCTAATTTTTGTATTTTAGTAGAGATGGGGTTGCACCATGGCCAGGCTGGTCTCAATCCCCTGACCTCATGATCTGCCCGCCTCGGCCTCCCAAAGTGCTGGGATTACAGGCGTGAGCCACTGCGCTCAACCCAGAGCGTGGTGTTAAAGAGGGCTGGTGCGTGTGGTGGCTCACACCTGTAATCCCAGTGCTTTGGGAGACTGAGATGGGACGATCACTTGAGTGCAGGAGTTCAAGATCAGCCTGGGCAATATAGTGAGACCTTGTCCCTACAAAAATAATTTAAAAATTAGCCAGATGTGGTGGGGTGTGCCTCTCAGCCAAGATGGGAAGAGGCAGAGTCCCCAGCTTGGCCACACTGTGGCTATTCAGCTTTAGGCCAGAGGCTTTCCCGTCTAGGTTTCAGAGTCCTCGTCTGTCACGTTAGCATGTCACATCTGTACATGTGCAAGGATGTGGCTAGAGTGCTTTGTGAACTCTGAAGTACTATGCAGCTGGACTGTTACTTAGTGTATATGTCCAGCTGCTTTAACAAAGAAACCCCAAACACAGTAGCTTAACCGAGATAGATGTTTATTTCTCCCTTCAGCACGGCCCAGAGTTATGCAGTCCTGGCCTGGTGGGGCCCGTCTGCCCTTTCAGAGCAGCCACCTGACACACCCACTTGGCAGCCTGTATTCACATGACTACAAGCAGCTGCGGGAACACTGGGAAGTGTAGTTTTTGGCAGGGTGACTTCATACTCAGCTATTACTGAGCTATTACTGTGGATAAAGAGAATTGCAGCCAGGTACGGTGGCCCACACCTGTAATCCCAGCATTTTGGGAGGCTGAGGCGGGCAGATCACGAGATCAGGGGATCGAGACCAGCCTGACCAACATATGAAACTCTATCTCTACTTAAAAATAGAAAAATTAGCTGGGCATGGTGGCGCGCACCTGTAATCCCAGCTACTTGGGAGGCTGAGGCAGGAGAATTGCTTGAACCGGGGAGGCAGAGGTTGCAGTGAGCCGAGAGCATGCCATTGTACTCCAGCCTGGGCAATAGAGCGAGACTCCATCTCAAAAACAAAAAGAAATTGCTATAGATGTTCAGAGTCTCTACAACTTGTGCTCTGTGCACAATGTCCCTGCCTTCACCCCGTCAGCAGTGACTGTGGGCACCCCCATTACCACTGTGAGACTTGGGACCCCAGGCCATTGTCTCCCACAGCAACTCACTGATCACCATTGGCAGAAAGCCTTCTGCCTGCCTTCCATGCTCGCCCACCCAGTCCTCACATCCATCCTGCGAGAGGTGGTGCTGTCCCACGTTACAGATGAGGTCACTGAAGCTCAGAGAGGGCAAAGGGGCCAATGTGGTGGCACACACCTGTAATCCCAGTGCTTTGGGAAGATGAGGTGGGAGGATCACATGAACTCAGGAGTTCGAGACCAGCCTAGGCAATATATTGAGACCCCCATCTCTACCAAAAATTTAAAAAATTAGCTGGGCATGGTGGTGCATGACTATAGTCCCAGCTACTCCGGAGGCTGAGGCAGGAGGATCACTTGAGCTAAGGAGTCTAAGGCTGCAGTGAACTATGATCTCACCACTCTACTTCAGCCAGGGCAATAGAGTGAGACCCTGTCCCTTGAGAAACCTACAAGAAGAGGGGGCAAGGGAAGCCAGGTGTCCTGGAGGGCCCCTGGGATGTCAAGTGTTGGAGCTGGGATGTTCCTGGGGTCTGTTAGCCAGGAAGCTCAGGTCAGGCTGCTTCCTTCCCTGGGGTCTGTCTCCAGCCCCTGGCACAGGGCTGGCACACAGGTGTCACTCCGGAAGAGCTCGTTGTGGGACTGAGTGGGAGAGGACCCACCTGACGTGGCTCTGCTGGTGCCCTAGGCTCTCGGACTCTAATAAGGAGAATGCGCTACACAGCTACAGCACCCAGAAAGGCCCCCTGAAGGCAGGGGAGCAGCGGGCAGGCTCTGAGGTCATCAGCCGGGGTGGCCCTCGGAAGGCGGACGGGCAGCGGCAGGCCCTGGACTACGTGGAGCTCTCCCCGCTGACCCAGGCCTCCCCACAGCGGGCCCGCACCCCGGCCCGTGCTCCTGACCGCCTGGCCAAGCAGGAGGAGCTGGAGCGGGACCTGGCCCAGCGCTCCGAGGAGCGGCGCAAGTGGTTCGAGGCCACAGACAGCAGGGCCCCAGAGGTGCCCGCTGGTGAGGGGCCACGCCGGGGCCTGGGAGCCCCCCTGACTGAGGACCAGCAGAGCCGGCTCAGTGAGGAGATCGAGAAGAAGTGGCAGGAGCTGGAGAAGCTGCCTCTGCGGGAGAATAAGCGGGTGCCACTCACTGCCCTGCTCAACCAAAGCCGTGGAGAGCGCCGGGGGCCCCAAAGTGACAGCCATGAGGCACTGGAGAAAGAGGTAGGCCCCACGCTGGCTCTCTAGGAGGCCCCTCGCCCCTGTGCCCCTCCAATCCCTGCGTTCATGCCCTGACATTTGTCTTGCACTCCTGCAGGGATGGAGAGCTTACCCCTGATCTGCTGTGAGTGTATACGCTACACTCCTTTGAACAAGAATCTTCTTCCTTAGACCTTAGTAGTTTGGTTTGGGTTTGTTTGTTTGTTTGCTTTTCCCCTAGTTCTGCTCTTAGCGACCACAGAGAAGCAAAGTGGGAAAAGAGGGGAGAGACCTGCCAGGCACGATGGCTCACACCTGTAATCCCAACACTTTGGGAGGCCAAGGTGGGAGGATCACTTGAGCCCAAGAGTTCAAGACCAGTCTGTGCAACGTGGCGAAACTCCATGTCTACAAAAAATACAAAATCTAGCTGGGTGTGCTGGTGCGCACCTGTAGTCCAGCTACTTGGGAGGCTGAGGTGGGAGGATGCCTGGAGCCCAGGAGGCGAGGTTACAGTGAGCCAAGATCAAGCCACTGCACTCTAGCATGGGCAGTAGAGCCAGACCTTGTCTTAAATTAAAAAGAACAAGAAGGAGAGACCGTTATTGTGTTTATTATCTTCTGCACATGGCCTCTCTGCCTGCACTGACTCATGGAATCTTCAATGCGGCCTCCACCCCTAGGGTGGACCTTAGCAGTTTTACTCACAGGAAAACTGAGGCTCAAAGATGTTTCCACTGTCACCTACATGATGTGTAAATATCTGTGACCACAGTTTTCTGTTCCCAACCCTGTCTAGTCTCCTCTGGGCCAAGGCTCTCCCAGGTCATTGACCTGACCATCCAAGAAACAGCCCAGCGTGCCCCTGGCCCCATCTCACTCCAGGGCTGCTTGCCCCTCTTTCAGACCCTGAGCCATTCCTAAGCCTCCCAGGGACGCTGGGCTGGCATCCATGTGGAGCTGGCAGCCTGTGGGCTCCTCACTGCCTTGCACCAGCCCTGCCCCAGCTTCCAGGCCCCACTGATCACCCTCCTCCCTCGTAGGTTCAGGCTCTTCGGGCCCAGCTGGAGGCGTGGCGTCTCCAAGGGGAAGCTCCTCAGAGTACACTGAGATCCCAGGAGGATGGCCACATCCCCCCTGGCTACATCTCACAGGTAAGGCTGGGGGGCTGTTTTTTGGGGGGAAGGGGCAGGTTTTTGATTGTGGTGTTATCAGAAAACAGCTGAGATTTTGGGAGCCCTTCCTGTGTGTGCTGGAACCCATGTGAGGCATTTGACACGCGTCATCTCGTTTAATCTCCCCACAGCTGGTGGGCCTGATCACGGTGCCCATTTTACAGACAAGGCCACAGAGCTCTGAGAGGTTATGTGACTTGCCTGAGGTCACCCTGCCTGCAGGTGTCAAAGGTGGGATTTGAGCCAGGGTCCAGCTGACTGCAGAGCCTGTGAGTCCCCATGTGACACTCTGCACTCGACCCTTCCCCCGGCAAAGTGGGGGCCAGTGGCCCCAAGAGTCACTCCCTGAACACAGGGAAATCCTTTGAGGCCCAGCAGGCCAAGGCCCCACACAAGGAGGTCTGCAGGACCGGGGGGTGTCTCCAGTGGCCCTCAGAATGCACCATCTGCCTAGGACAGTGGTTCTTAACTGGGTCCATTTTGTCTCCCTTGGGGACATTTGGCTGTGTCTGGGAACAATTTTGGTTGTCACAACTAGGACAAACTACCTAGAAAAAAAAGTGTGTGTACACATATATAAGTTTATTATAAAGTTTACCAATAAAAACAATGTTTAGTGCCCAGTTTACTAATATACAGTTTTATTGTGAATTCCATATAGCAAATGGATTTTTCTCAGAACGCTCTCAGTGATTTTTCCACACTCTTGTATCCACAACTAATTAACAAACGGGTTGTTTCAACATGTATACTGGTTGACACTTTTCTCTATGGTAATAAGATGACGAGACATTTGTCGAAAATTTACTGGTCCATGTTGTGGGTGACTTCTTTGCTAAATCTGATAGTGGTTTTTTATTAAGAATATCTGAGAATAGGCCAGGCGCGGTGGCTCAAGCCTGTAATCCCAGCACTGTGGGAGGCCGAGACGGGTGGATCACGAGGTCAAGAGATCGAGACCATCCTGGTCAACGTGGTGAAACCCCGTCTCTACTAAAAATACAAAAAATTAGCTGGGCATGGTGGTGTGTGCCTGTAATCCCAGCGACTCAGGAGGCTGAGGCAGGAGAATTGCCTGAAACCGGGAGGCGGAGGTTGCGGTGAGCCGAGATCGCGCCATTGCACTCCAGCCATTGCACTCCTTGAAACTCCGTCTCAAAAAAAAAGAAAAGAATATCTGAGAATATCCTATTGTGAATATTTTTGCAATTCTTGTTCTATTTACAATGTAATGGTTATAGCTGTGACACACTTTTAAGTTCAGTTTGCATTATTAGCATTTTCTTGTCACTTGTTTAAGTCTAGACAGTCAACCAAACAATGAATCAAGCCCTGCTGTGTATGGTTTACCAGTTCCATGGTGTGAATACCCCCACTGTGGCTGATGCTGCGTTACCAGCCTGAAGTCTCTGGACACAGAGTTGGGAGGAGATGTCAGATCATTCTGTAGGATTTCCGCCATGCAGATACAGTAGATGTGACTGACCCCAAGAGCACACATAATAAAACAGTGAAATAATTAGAAAGTAATAAATTTGAGTATCCATTACCTTGTCTTTAATGTAGTTAATTATAAGTATATAAATTTTAATTTTTAATGGCTGTGCTTAACAACTACATCACAGAATTCCTAAAAATTTGACAATCAACTGTCTGCAGTCAGCGCACCATAACCTAAAGTAGAAAAGAAGGCCTCAGGCAGGAGGAGCCTTCTAGAAGTTTCCAAGGAGAGGTCACGTGAGGGGGCTCTCAGGAAGGTGTTGTCTGGGGCATGAGAAAAGAGGCTAGTTGGTGCCTATTGTGGAGTCCTCCAGTGCTGAGCTAAGAGTTAGAAGCTCTGGCCGGGCATCATGGCTCATGCCTGTAATCCCAGCCCTTTGGGAGTTTGAGGTGGGCAGATCACTTGAGGTCAAATATTTCACCCTGAGACCAGCCTGGTCAACAGGGTGAAACCCCCTTTCTGCTAAACAAACAAAAGTTAGTAGGGCGTGGTGGTGTGCGCCTGTAATCCCAGCTACTCTGGTGGCTGAGGCAGAATTGGTTGAACCCGGAAGGCAGAGGTTGCAGTGAGCTGAGATCCTGCCTCTGCACTCCAGCCTGGGTGACGCTGAGAATCTATCTTTTATTTTAAAAAAAAAGCTCACTCCACAGACTTAGACTTTTGGAAGTTCAGAGTCAGACAGTGATGTCAGGAAAGTGATGTCAGAGTGGATGGGGCTTGGGAGAGGGCCAGGTATAAGGCACTAGGTTAGTGGCTATAGGAGGGTGAATGTCAGGGGTCTGGAGGAAGGAGAATTGAGGACTGGATGACCAGATCTGTGGAAGGCAGGGGTGCCTTCAGGGGCCCTGAGGCTGGGGCTGCTCCTGCGAGGAAGCCCAGAGAGCATAGAGGTTCCACTGACGGAGGAGCAGGGGTGGGACACAGAGGGTGAGTGTGGGGGCTTACCCTGTCCTGGGGAGGGGCAGGGGAGAGGCCAGTGTTGTGCACTGTAGCCCCTCCCCAGGGCAGAGAAGGGAGTTGGGGGCCCAACACCCCAGATGAGGCAGTTGGGAGGACCTCAGAAAGCCCAACCAGGGGCTTTCACATGCACTCTGTTCTAAGGCGCTCCAGGGGTTGCTTTCTGGGTGGGGGGGGCTGGGGCCCATTTGTACCCACCTATTATCAGAGCAGCTTCATTTTTCTCCATCTTATTTTAATTTTTTTAGAGATGAAGTCTCTCCCTGTCACCCAGGCTGCAGTGCAGTGGCACAATCATGGCTTACTGCAGCCTCGAACTCTAGGGCTCAAGCAATCCTCCCACCTCAGCCTCCTGAGTAGGAACCACAGGTGCACACCACCATGCCTGGCTAATTAAAAACCTTTTTTTGTAGAGAAAGGTCTCACTGTATTGCCCAGGCTGGTCTTGAACTCCTGGGCTCAAGTGATTCTTCCACCTTGGCCTCCCAAAGCGCTGGGAGTACAGGTGTGAACACTGCACCGGCCCATCTTTGTCCATTTTACTCACAGAGCCAGCTTTAGATTTCCTTTGGATAAATGCTCTGCCACTACAGTGAAGTCTGAAAGGCACTGCTATGGCTTCTCAGCTTACAGGTGGCAAAACTGAGGCCCACAGAAGGGTGTGATCTTTGAGCTGTGGGCAGACCTGTGTCTGGAATCCAGGCATTCTAGTCCCCCCATGCCCCTCTGGGTGCACCACAGGCTGTCAGCATTTTATCCCGTTACAGTGGCATGGGCAGGGGGAGCAGGTGGGAGGGGAGAAGGGAGTAATTGGGAAATAGAGCTGAAGACCAGGCAGGTGGAGGATTGACACCAGATGCGGAGGGAGGGCAGATGCGAGGGAGGGTTCAGAGAAGAGGAGCTGAGTCATCTGTGTCGCCCTCAGGCATGGGAGGAGGCAGCTGGAAACTCAGTGGACCTGGAGGAGTGACAGCTGGGGGGGGATTCCCCAACTGGTGTCTCAGGCTGAGTGGGTGCCCTTCCTTCAGGGCTTGGGGGCTTGGCGCTGTGGGACAGCTGTCGGGTGGTCTGGGGCTTCACCCACTGGATGTCTGGTAAAGAGGACCCTTCCCCACTGTTGTGGTGGGTGTCAGAGGCATTTCTTTATCTATTTTGATATGCATGTTAGAGGCAACAGCCAGAATCAGGACACCTTGGGCCACTCAGGAAGGTAGGTCACAGAGCATTCCCTGGCCATCTAGGAGTCCCTCTTCGTCAGCTGGGTCCCACCTCCCGATGTCAGCCCCTGCACCCCTGGGCTGCCAGGTCTGCCTGCCTGATCTGGCCCTTTTCAGAAGCCCAGTCCCCACCCCCATGTTGCTGGGCTCCCCACTGGTGGGTACGGCTGGCATAGGGTCTCCCTCTGTGCACAGGGTTCCTGTCCCGTACCCAGGGAGCCTCGGGGGCTGGTCCTGTGAGGCCTGCTTTACAGATGCCAAGACTGGAGCTCAGAGAGGCGAGGGGCTTGTTCAGGTTCACTCTGAGATGCAGCCAGGATGAGGACCCCCCTCTGAGGTCCAAAGCCATGTTCTGTTGTCCTAAGCCGGGAGGCATACAGAGGGCGGGGACAGAAGTCAGGCACAGCCACCCGTCTCCACTTGAAGCTCTTGGCTCTCATCCTTCTATCATATCATCCCCTGCAGCCCAGGTGGGGCTGCCGGAGAGGCAGGGAGGTGGCCTGTGTGTGGGGGAGACAGCCCCTCATCTGGCCCTCTGGGCCTCAGTTTCTTCCCTCGCGCTTCTTCCCACTTCCCTTTTTAATTACCTTAAACATTTTTTTAATTATATAAAAAACATGTTTACATTTTCAAAAATAATTCAAACAAATTGAAAGGTTAGAAATCAACACCCTCACATCCCTTCCGCTGCCAGCTGCCACCCCGGGGTCACATCGGTGGCTGCTGCCGCCTTGCCTGCCTCTCAGTTTCCTGTGGCAGCTATAATCGGTCACCACAGCTGCCTAAATAATGCACATGTATTACCTCACGCTTCTGTAGGCGAGAAGTCTAATGTGGGTCTTGCCGTGCTGCAGCTGAGGCAGGACTGTGTTTCTCTACAGGTGCCCGTGGCATCCCTTCTGGTGGCCGCCCAGGTCCCTTGGCTCTCGGCCCCTTCCTTCATCTTCAAAGCCTGCAGAGGCGAAGTTGAGTCCTTCTCCCGCCACATCACTCTGACTATCCCTTCCTGGTCACACCTCCCTTGAACTCTTTGCTTCTGCCCCTTCGTCCACTTTTAAGGACCCTTGTGATTACACTGGGCTCGAGGGATAATCTGGGATAATCTCCTGATTTTAAGGTCAGCTGATTAGCAACCTTCATTCCCTCGGCAGTCTGAATTCCTCTTTGCCACGTAACATGACAATCACAGATCCTGGGAGTAGGATGTGGACAACTTTGGGGGGCTGTCATTCTGCCCCCCACAATCTCCTCCCTACCTTTTCTGTGTTTTTGTGTCCAAGGACTGGGACGGACAGGTCTGCACATTTGTCCCCGTGAGTGAGATCATACCACGTGTGTCAGAAGCCAACTTTCACCACCTGATTTTGGGATCTTTTTCCACAGCATCCACATTAAAACTCTGTCTAGGCCGGGCGTGGTGACTCATGCCTGTAATCCCAGCACTTTGGGAGGCCAGTGTGGGTGGATCATGAGGTCAGGAGTTCAAGACCAGCCTGGCCAACATAGTGAAACCTTGTCTCTACTAAAAATACAAAAATTAGTCGGGCATGGTGGCACTTGCCTGTAATCCCAGCTACTTGAGAGGCTGAGGCAGAAGAATCGCTTAAACCGGGGAGGCAGAGACTGCAGTGAACCGAGATCATGCCACTGCACTCCAGCCTGGCCAACAGAGCGAGACTCCATCTCAAAAAAAAAAAAAAAAAATTATAAAGCTCAATCCCATCATTTATTCAAGAGTTCCCCTGATAGGCATTTAGATTTTCCAGTTTTCATCTGTTACCAACCTTGCCGTAGGGAAGAAATACCCTTGTTCCAGGAGTGTCTGTACACATGTGACTTGCTGTGGGATCAGAAAAGGAGTGGACCTGCTAGGTCAGCCAGTGGGGTCGCAAAATGTGATGATGCCGCCAGACCACCCCCCTCACACACACTGTCACGGCGGACACTCCCAGTAGTGGGTATTACTAGTCTTTGAGATACTTGCCCATCTTGTCTACTAAGCATTATTTTGTATTACGTCATCAGTTTCAGCTCATTTTCTGAGCACCTGCCACATGTCAGGCCCTGGCCTAGACCCTGGGGACTGCACCAGTCAGGTGTTCTCAGTCTTTAGGGAACTTATGGTTTGACAGAAGCAGAACATTTTGAGGCAGGGGAGAGGCTGCCCAGAGACAGAGCTAGGAGAGACATTTAAACTGGGTTGCAGGTCAGTAAATTCCCCCGGGAGGTAAAGTTGCCAAAAAAGCGTTCTAGGCAGTGGGAATAGCATGAGCTGAAGCTCAGAGGAGTGAACGTGCTGCAACTGTAACTATAAGATTGCTTGGCAGAGAAGGGCCGGGGATGAGACCGCAAACGTCAGCCATGGGAGCAGGGACTTGACTCTGTAGGACGGGGAGTCCCTGGAGGGCTTGAGGCAGGAGTGACAAGGTGAGGTTTGTGAAGAAGGAGCTGTGGCTGGAGGTGCCAGGGCCCAGGAAGAGGTGGTGCACCTGCCCCTGAGCCTTCTCTGGAGTCTGGGAAAGGGCCGCTGTCCCAGAGGAACGGGCAGCCCCTGACACCCTGGCCTCCGGCCCGCAGGAGGCATGTGAGCGCAGCCTGGCAGAGATGGAGTCCTCGCACCAGCAGGTGATGGAGGAGCTGCAGCGGCACCACGAGCGGGAACTGCAGCGACTACAGCAGGAGAAGGAGTGGCTCCTGGCCGAGGAGACAGCAGCCACGGCCTCAGGTATGGACCCTGGGTGGGGCACAGTGGGCTGAGCCCTCAGCAGAAGGAGTGGCTCCTGGCCGAGGAGACAGCAGCCACGGCCTCGGGTATGGACCCTGGGTGGGGCACAGTGGGCTGAGCCCTCAGCAGAAGGAGTGGCTCCTGGCCGAGGAGACAGCAGCCACGGCCTCAGGTATGGACCCTGGGTGGGGCACAGTGGGCTGAGCCCTCAGCCTCCCCGCTGAGCCTCCTCCTGGCCAAACTAGGGAGGATTTTATCAAATAAGAGGTAGGGGTCTCAGTGCCACATTTGGGGTAAGGGTCAGCAGGGGTTGGAAGCCCCTAGAACTGGCCTGTAGCCGCTACTTGAAAAGGTGAAACTGAGGCAGAAAAGACACCCTCCCCAGCCAGGTGTGGTGGTTCACGCCTGTAATCCTAGCACTTTGGAAGGCCAAGGTGGGCAGATCGCCTGAGGTCGGGAGTTAAAGACCAGCCTGGCCAACATGGAGAAACCCCATCCTTAGTAAAAACATACAAAATTAGCCAGGCGTGGTGGCGCATGCTGGTAATCCCAGCTACTCGGGAGGCAGAGGCAGGAGAGTCACTTGAACCTGGGAGGTGGAGGTTGCCACGAGCCGAGATTGTGCCATGGCACTCCAGCCTGGGCAGTAAGAGTGAAACTTGGTCTCAAAAAGCAAAAACAAAATAAAGACACCCTCCCCACCCCCAACACCACCACTACCATGGGTGGTGACTCCTCCCCTCAGGGGCCTGCAGCCACCAGAGAATCTGCCTAAAGCCACACGCTGCCCACATGCTGCAGGGAGAGGCTGATCAGCTGCATCCCTGTCCTCATATGAGTGACTCCTCCCCGGGCACATAGGCCAGACCTTGGGGAGAGCAGGGGAAGGTGTGAGTAGTGTCCACCCCAGTTGTGTGTCAGGCACTGGGCCCCACATCTTCCCCACAGGAGCACCCTTCATACTAGACAGTTCCCTCCACTCCTGCAGGTCCACTGCGCACCTGCTGTGTGCCTGGCACTTTCCTAGGCACCATTAGGGGTTTGCAGAAGAATAGAAATGATGGCCAATGTCACATGATCTGAAGCTCTCAACCTGCCAGTGCTGTGCCAAGTGCTCGTTCACTCAAACCCAGCCTGGGGCCAGTGTGCTCTGCATTTTAGGAAGATGGCTATTGCAGGTGCCTGTGTCAGAGGCGCTGTCCCCCTCAGCAGAGGATGGACCTCGCCCTGTAATCTAGCACTAAGGTTTCTGCTGTGAAATGGATAAAAATCACACTTAAGTGGAGTAATAGAGACCATGAATAGCCTCAGGTCCATTCAGGGTGGGGATTGCCACCAAAAGAGTTACCAGAAGCTGGATGTGGTAGCTTGTCTGTAATCTCAGCACGTTGGGAGGCCGTGATCACATGAGGTCAGGAGTTCGAGACCAGCCTGGCCAACATGGTGAAACCCCATCTCTACTAAAAATACAAAAATTAGCAGGGCATAATGGCACGCACCCGTAGTCCTAGCTACTCAGGAGGCTGAGGCAGGAGAATCTCTTGAACCCAGGAGATGGAGACTGGAGTAAGTGGAGATTACACCACTTCACTCTAGCCTGGGTGACAGAGCAAGACTCCATCCAAAAAAACAAAAAAAAATGAATTATGAGAAACTTACAATGTTGAGAGGTTTTGGATCTTAGAATTGTGGATAAAACTATGGGTGTGGCCTGTTTAATCCTCACAACAACCCTGAGTGGGAAAAAAGCCTTAGTCTTGGTCCTTAGGAGCTCAGTCTGAGGATAAAGCCAGCAGGAGCTAATGTTGGGACATTTACCCCAAGCCATGCTTTGTTCTCAATGCTACACACACATCTTCCAATAACCTCATGGAGGAAAGGTACTTTGTTATGCCCGTTTTCCAGATAAGACACCTGAGGCATGAGGGGTTAAGTCACCTGTGCAAAGTCACATAGATTTATGCTGACTCTGGAACCTGAGCTCTTGACCATCAGGCCGGGCAAAGCAGATAGGCCTTGTTTGAGAGCCTCTGAGTCTGCAGGGAGGGTATACTCTGTGGGGTCCTACCCAGAAATTACTAGAACAGGAGGTACCAGTGGTCAGACACTGAGGTATCTCTCCAGCAGGGTCCATCCAACAGGATTATCTTCCCTTAATAGATGGGCTTAGAGAGGTTGAGCAACTTACCCAAAGCCACTCAGTGTATGACACAGCCTGGGCTGCTCTGGACTCCTGGTTCAGTGCTCTTTGCACACCGCTCCTTGGTCCTGTCTCCACTGGTACATGTGGCGCCTCAGAGCAGGTGGCACTTGGTGCTGCTGACCCCCCTCCAGTCTCTCTTGTGCCTCTCTGCCCTGCTTCCAGCCATTGAAGCCATGAAGAAGGCCTACCAGGAAGAGCTGAGCCGAGAGCTGAGCAAAACACGGAGTCTCCAGCAGGGCCCAGATGGCCTCCGGAAGCAGCACCAGTAAGATGATGCCAGGCCCAGCTGCCCACCCTAATGGTTACGAGTCGAGGAACTTTGCTGAGACCCCTTGGCAGAGGACACATCAGTTTTCCCCTAGCTGAGATTCCTGCACCAGTCTCATGGATGCAAGAAACAGAAGGAGAAAGTCCTCAGGCAGACCCCATTGCCAGTCCTCACAGACAGCTCTTCAGGCGCCTTCTTGTCTTGGCCGGTTCCAGCCTCCACCCACCTCTTCACCCCTTTAGTCTCCCCTAGAGCTAGACTGCAGTGTCACTGTTGACCAGTGTGTCTCTCCCTGCCCCAGAGCACAGTACTGGAATGTTGAGGCTTCAGGAGTTTTAAAGATATGCTCCTCCAAGCCACTCTCTCTCATAGGGGAAACACGTGCAATCCAGAGAGGCTGTCACTGGCTTACAGCCCCACAGCAGGCTGAAGGCAAACCTAGAGAGAGAACCCCAGAGTTCTGGGATGCTTTGAGTCTGCCATGACCAGACACCAGGCTTGGCAGGGGCAAGATAACTCATGCTGTCCTTTGCTCCTCCTCTGGGGCAGGTCAGATGTGGAGGCACTGAAGCGGGAGCTGCAGGTGCTATCGGAGCAGTACTCACAGAAGTGCCTGGAGATTGGGGCGCTGACGCGGCAGGCTGAGGAGCGGGAGCACACCTTGCGCCGCTGCCAGCAGGAGGGCCAGGAGCTGCTGCGCCACAACCAGGTGGGCCTGGCCCCAGGTTGGGGGAACGTGGGTGGATCCCAGCACCCCTGCCCTGACCACTGTGCCCCTCCCAGGAGCTGCATGCCCGCCTGTCAGAGGAGATAGACCGGCTGCGCAGCTTCATTGCATCACAGGGCGTGGGCAACGGCTGCGGGCGCAGCAACGAGCGGAGCTCCTGTGAACTGGAGGTGAGTGCCCTCACTAGCACCAGGCAGCCCAGTGGTTCTTGGGGCCCAGGGCTATGGGGCACTCCGCCCACAGGCTGGGTATCACCTGCTATGGGAACTCCAAGTCCCCCAGTGGCTGGGCCAGCCTAACTCGGCCAGAACATCTACTGTGAGTCCAGTTGCCAGAATTCCGCTCTCCCACCTGGGTTGTGTCACCTGCCTGCCGTGTACCGTAGCCAGTCACTCCACCTTTCTGAGTCCCAGTAGTTCACCTGTAAAATGGCCCTAGCACTTCCCTTACTGGGAAATATTGGGGTAAGAAAATATGCATGTGTGTGATCCCAGGATCACTCTAGTATTTTATTTTATTTTAGACAGTTTCACTCGGTCACCCAGGCTGAAGTGCAGTGGCACGATCTCGGCTCACTGAAATTTCTGCCTCCCCAGCTCAAGTGATTCTTCTTCCTCAGCCTCCCCAGTAGCTGAGATTACAAGCCCTCACCACCACACCCAGCTAATTTTTTATACGTTTGGTGGAGATGGGGGTTTCACTCTATTAGCCAGGGTGGTCTCGAACTCCTGACCTCAAGTGATCCACCCGCCTCAGCCTCCCAAAATGCTGGGATTACAGGCATGGGCCACCACACCCAGCCTTAGTATTTTATTTCTTAACACCTAGGTGAGGCTTACCCTCTGCCTAGAACTTCTGGAAGTCCTTTTGGTCTGTTAATTCATCTAATCTTCCTGACAGCTGCATACGTTAGCTGCTGTGACTGTCCGCATTTACAGAGGAGGAGACAGACACAGGGAGGGCACGTACCTTACCAAGGCTTGCACAGCTGGCCTGGGACTTGAACCAGGCAGTCTGGCTCCAGTCTGAGCCTTTAAGCCTCCCCAGTCCTGGCTGAACTTGTTTCTTCCTTGATCAAGGCAGCAGCACCTGGCCCTCAGGGTTGGGGAGGGGTTAGTGAGGTGGCCTGTGGGGTGACCCAGCCGCTCAGGTTTATGTAGGGCTTCTTTTCATCTTCCTCACCCCAGAGGTGAGAGCCTGGTGCTGCCTGAGGGCTGCAGCAGAGTTGACCGTCAGATAGCCACTCACACAGGCTGGACAGGGGTGAGAGTAAAGGAAGGGAAAGCAGGGGAATCAGAGAGGGCTTCCTGGAGGAGTCCGACTCTAGGATGTCGAGGGTTTTGGTGCGGATAGGGACTGCATTCTAGGGGCCTGAGGCAGAGAGAAGGCAGGCTGCAGGGCACTATGGGCCAGGGTAGCTCTGGCTCCTGGCCCTGGGTCAGCCTGGCACCTGTATCCCCAGGTGCTGCTTCGAGTAAAAGAGAACGAACTTCAGTACCTGAAGAAGGAGGTGCAGTGCCTCCGGGACGAGCTCCAGATGATGCAGAAGGTAGGCCTGCCACTGGGCGTGGGGGCCGTGGGGGCCTCTGGAGCCACCTGGGCGCCATCCTGTGAGCGCCTGCTCTGTGCCAAGCCCTCCACTTGCCTCATCCTTCCTCAGGCTCTCCTGTGCCTCTCCCACATAGGTGTCGTCATCCCCATTCACTGACAGGGAAACGGAGGCTAAGAATGGGGAAGTGACTTGCCCAAGGCCATACTTGCTTCTATTTATTTAGCATTATTTAATTTATTGATGATTATTCAGTACCTACTATGTCCCAGGCACTGCGCTAGGTGCTGGGAAGACAGATGTGAACAAAATAGCCCCAAATCTCTGCTGTGTGGACCTTGCACTCAAGTGAGAATAGCCACATTGCTAGGAGTGGACGTGTCAGGGTTCAGCCCAGGTGTGAGTCTGCAGCCCACCTGGCCCACCCTTGGCTGCTATGTCCCAGCCTGGTGCTGTCAGTTTGGGGCGGGAAGTGGACTCTCTAAGCGTGTTTGAGCCAGAACGTATTTACCGTGCTTGAAGAACTGGTGGCGTGAACTCACGGGAAGGGCCTGAGCACCCAGCCAGGCTGACCTGGTTCTCATCCCAACCACTCACTGCCTTTCGTTCTTGGGCAAAATCTCCTCCCGAACAGGATGAGGATGCCAATGACGCCTGTGTCCCTGGGTGGTACCAGGGGTGGGAGGGGTAGGACCAAGACCAGGACTGCCTGGGGGAGCTACCTGGATGCATGAAGCAAGGGGGCTACAGGGAGCTCTGGCTGCTGGTGCTGCCCAAGTGCCAGGTGGGCGGGGCTGGAGGAAGAAGCTTTATCCCCTCACACCCTCCTCCTGCCGTGCAGGACAAGCGCTTCACCTCTGGAAAGTACCAGGACGTCTACGTGGAGCTGAGCCACATCAAGACGCGGTCGGAACGGGAGATTGAGCAGCTGAAGGAGCACCTGCGCCTTGCCATGGCTGCCCTGCAGGAGAAGGAGGCCATGCGCAACAGCCTGGCTGAGTAGAGGTGGGTGCCGAGGCGTGCGCCCTGCAGGCTGGGCAGGGGCTGAGGCTCTCCCACACCCGGGACTCCCTGGGCCACCCCAGCCAGGGCACTTCCTTCTTCTGGCCTCCAATTCCCGTTCTGTGAAAGGGACCATGAAACCAGCAACACGAGGTTGTCGCTGAGATCCCATCAGACCTGGGCCACAGGCTGCCTCATCTGCTTGAGCCTGTTCCCCCAGAGCCGGGTGGTGCAGTGTGGAGCCACAGCCGGCTCAGCGCGCACCCTCCTCGGGGCTGGAGGCACATGTCATGCTCACCCACAGTGAGCCTCCGCCCACTTCACACACGGACACTGCGCACTGAGGCCGCGCCTGTCCTGGTTCGTCTTCACTTATTCTGGACTTAGCGGGGCTCGAAGTGGTTTTGTTCGTTTGTTTTGAGACAGGGTCTTGCTCTGTCACCCTGGCTGGATGCAGTAATGCAGTCACGGCTTCCTGCAGCCTCAACCTCCTGGGCTTAAGGGATCCTCCCACCTCAGCCTCCTGAGTGGCTGGGACCTCAGGCCCGTACCACCATGCCCAGATCATTTTTGTACTTTTTGTATAGGCAGGGTTTCGCCCTGTCTCCCAGGCTGGTCTCAAACTCCTGGGCTTAAGCAGTCCACCTGCCTCAGCCTCCCAAAGCTCTGGGATTGCAGGCACGAGCTGCTGCGCCTGCCCAAAGTGTTTTATTTTTGCTTTTTCAACGCCACATCTACCTGGAACGTCCCCTTTCTGACAAGTCCCCATGGACTTCTTAAGACACAGGAGAGGCCACTCTGTGGCCGAGCTACTTGGGAAGGAGCCGGGAAGAGCAGATCTGGCTGCACCTTCGGGGCTGCAAGGTGGCAGTGGAAGGACCCACTCATCACCCTTGCCTGGCCTGGGGGTGGCCTCGAAGCCTCTCAGCCCAGGCCTCAGCCGTGCCACGCCTTGTCTTTCAGGTCCCGCCCAGCTGCAGACCCTCCAGCCTGGAGGAGCGGCCGCCCTCCTTCCCTGCTGGATGGAAGTCCAAAGCCAAGCTTTCTCCCCACCCTCTGTGGGCCACACGTGCACTTGCACCCACCACACACACACACACACACACACACACACACACACACGTCCACGTGCACACACACACACTCTGCGTATCTGAGCGCGCCCCTCGCACTGGGTCTTACCTTGCACCTTCTTCAGGATTTTATATGTGAAGAGATTTTTATATAGATTTTTTTTCCAAAACACTTTATACTTTAAAAAAAGCAAAAAGCAATTCCTGGTGGCTGTGTACCTCCAACCCTGGTCCCCCGCTCTGTCTCCAGCCACCCTCTTCTTGGGCTTCTGGGCTGGTGTCCCTGACCCAGGGGTCTGGCGGAGGCCCAGGCAGCAGCGGCCATGGCGAGCTGTCTCTGCAGGGGAGAGGCGGGAGCCTGCCACCCTCTTCCTACCCTACCTCCTACTAACACTTCCTGCCCCACACGGCCCGTACCGTGGGGCTCAGGACAGAGGGAGCCAGCAGCCGGCCTCATGGCCCACAGCCTCCTCAGGCTATGCCATGCAGAAGGTGTTTCTCTCCTGCTCCCTGAACCTCTTAACTTAATAAAACGTTCCAGCAGCTCTGGTGTCCTAGGTGGCTGACAGAACCAGAACAGAGACTGGGGTTTCTTGAAGTGGCTTCCCCACTCACACCCTACCCACACCCCACCCATCCTAAAGCAGTGGCCTCTGGGCTTCTGAGGGTGGGGCCTCCCTGACAAGGACTGTGACACCCCCAGTGTGGCTTGCAGGCCAGTGGCAGCTGGAAGCAGGTGAGAAATAGCAAGTCCAGCCCCACCCCGACCCACTTAACCAGCGTCTGCATTTTCACAGGCTGCCCCAGTGATTCACATGACCCTCGAAGTCTGAGGAGCCCTAGAGTAGGGCACAGGGCCCAGGCCTGAGGGAGAGGCCTGGAGCTGAGACTGGCCCTGACCAAGAACTTGCACAAGTCATACCCCTCTCTGAGCCTCAGTTTTCTTCTCCATCAAATGGGTGTTTTTCTTTCAGTCCCAGTCCTCTCCTGAGGCTTTGCTCTGAGGTCATGCCCAACCCTGGGCAGGGGTGAGGTCAGGGGTTGTGGCCACCCCAGGCCCAGGCCCAGTGGGCTGGAGTCCTCACCATGGCCAGCTGTGCTGGTTATGGTCACATGGGGCTGGGAAGAGGTCCCATTTCTGAGACCTACAGAAACTGGCCACATCCAGTAGGGGTGGCTGTGAGAACCCAGAGGAGACCCCAACCCAGCCCACAGGTGGAAGAGTGCCTTTGGAAGCAGCTTTGAAAGATGACTCTTCCAGATGGAAGGATCAGGAAGGGCCTTCCATGCGGAGGCAGGAGCAGGGGCAAGTGTCCCTGGTGTGTTCAGAGAGTGACCCAAAGGAGAGTGACCTCGTGGAGTGGGCGGAAATTGCTTCCCATTCCCTTGCCAGGGATTGGTTCTGAAATGGACAAGGGATGCAGTTCCAGTAAAATGTGGGGGAAGACTTGGGAGCAGGGTGGAGGGGGGCATCTGGGAAGGCTGTCCTTGGTCTTACAAAGGGGCACAAGAGGCCGGGCAAGGTGGCTCACACCTACAATCCCAGCACTTTTGGGAGGCCAAGGCAGGGGGATCACCTGAGGTCAGTTCGAGACTAGCTTGGCCAACATGGTGAAACCCCGTCTCTACTAAAAATACAAAAAGTTAGCCAGACGTGGTACCAAGATCCTGTAATCCCAGCTACTTGGGAGGCTGAGGCGAAGAATCCCTTGAACTCAGGCAGTAGAGGCTGCAGTGATCTGAGATTGCGCCACTGCACTCCAGCCTGAGCAAAGAGTTTTGCTCTTTGCAATAAGAGCAAAATTCCCTCTCAAAAAAAAGGTGGGGAGGAGGCACAAGGAGGGGACCCCTCTCTTCTGGCCTTGCCACCATCTTGCCTCATCAATGGCTGAAAATGTCAGAGCAGAAGAAAGACAGCCAAGACCCTGTGCTGTCAAATCCCCCAGGCTTGGCGCTGCCTGCCCCAGCACTACCTGCTTGGGAGATAAGGAGCATTCCTAGCCATGAGGAGACGGGATGTCTGTGAGATGGGATGTCTGTCGCTGGCAGCCCTGGCGTCCATCCTCACCATCCCACCATCCCCCCTAGGACAGCTCTCAATCCCATCCTCTGCCTCCGTTCTAGCCTCAGCCTAACTTGGGGCTCCCCCATCTCACACCTGGCTGTGGCAACATCCCCTCACCAACCCCGCTCCCATCTTCTCCTCAGGGCTGCCTGGGGGAGCTACAAAAACCAGACCAACCTCAGGAAGGTGCTCCACATCTCATCAAAAACCGGGAGATCGTCTGGACATGGGGGCTCAACGCCTGTAAGCCCAACACTTTGGGAGGCTGAGGTGGGTGGATCATGAGGTCAGGAGTTCAAACCAGGCCGGCCAAGATGGTGAAACTGTCTCTACTAAAAATACAAAAATTAGCTGTACGTGGTGTCAGGCGCCTGTAATCCCAGCTACTGGGGAGGCTGGGGCAGGAGAATCGCTTGAACCTGGGAGGCAGGCGGCGGTGAGTCGAGATGGCACCACTGTACTCTAGCCTGGGCAACAAGAGTGAGACTGTCCCAAAAAACAAAAACATGCGATCACACTCCCCCACTATTAGAATAGGTCAAGGGACAAGGTCTGTCAGTGCAACATGCTGGTAGGAATACAGAGGATGGCGGCTCCCGGGCGCTGCTGGCGCAAGTGTGCTTTGTACAACCATGGCAGGAAACCAACAGCTTCTCACACAGTTAAATACACATCTACCCTATGGCCTAGCATTTCCACTCCTGCTTACATACCCAAGAGAAATGAGCGCTTACATGCACGAAAGCATGAGTGTGGGAGTACTCACATCAGCAAATAAAGAAACAATATACAGTAGTTGCCGATCAGTTACAGAATGAATAAATTGTGGTATATTCATACATCAGAATACCACACAGCAATTAAAAAAAAAAAAATAGAGACAGGGTTTCACCATATTGGCCAGACTGGTCTCAAACTCCTGACCTCGTGATCTGCCCGTCTCAGACTCCTAAAGTGTTGGGATTACAGGCGTGCAGGTGTGAGCCACCGTGTCTGGCCTATACAGCAATTTTTAAAGAATTGCTACATAGGCCGGGCGCGGTGGCTCAAGCCTGTAATCCCAGCACTTTGGGAGGCCGAGGCGGGTGGATCACGAGGTCAAGAGATCGAGACCATCCTGGTCAACATGGTGAAACTCCGTCTCTACTAAAAATACAAAAAATTAGCTGGGCATGGTGGCACGTGCCTG